CCCCAAAACCCCAAAACCCCAAAACCCCAAAACCCCAAAACCCCAAAACCCCTAAAATTTAGTGGAATATTGAAGTTTAAACTTGCTAAACCAAAATCCTAGATAACTACTAAAGGAAGTATTCCAGTTTAGGACCTTCCAAATGCTGGTAGTTGATAGCAAAGAAGCTAGGCTTATACTGCTTCAACTGATTCTGCATATTCAGTGATGGAAGAAGGCATATAGTCTCCTCCTCTAGTACGTGGATCTTATCTCGAAGAAAGCTCATGAACCTCTTCTCTTTCCCTTGCTTGATAAAATTGGCACAGCTGATGAAGGAATAATTATTCGGGTTTATACTTTCTGTGCCTTCTGACATTTTTGACTCAAAACTCTTTTCTACCTGGCTTGTGGAAGAGTCGTTCAGAGAGATGAAGTTTTGGCTGTATTCTAGTTCTCTGTCAATTTCAATATCATCAGACTTATCCTTGGCATGGTCCTCATGGTCTTTGATTTCAACCATTATTTGGTCTTTCGGAGGTAAGTTTGGTTCAACGAACAAACTTTTCTCGTAATAATGGCTCGAACTGCATTGTAGATTATACATTGAGGTTTTAACACCAGCCTTCTGATCATGATGTGCACTGCTCTGTTGACTAGGATTCGGACTTCCAATAGTTGTCCCGTTGGGAGACCTATGGTTAGTCTCAGGTGAGGTAAAAGGAGAGGAGATTGATGCATTATCTCTTCGTGAAGGGCTTGTTGGAAAAATCCTAATTGTTTGAGTATCAGCTACCCATTGAGGGTTCCCATTAGATCCTTGTGTTTCAACATATAAATCTTCTCTATTTGGCAACTGGACAAAGTTCTTTGTTTTTATAGGTGCATCAGAGTTCTTCGGAACCAGCATATTATTGGTATTATCAATCTCAAATGAGAAGTCTTCTCATTTTCCTTCTTCCTTGTCTAAATTTTTATATATCATTTCAAAGTGGAGTTTCATCATTCTGCTATTAATCTGATCAAGAATTCCATCTGCTTCTACAACAGAGATATCATGTCGTTTATTTCACACAGAATTTTCTTCGATTGTGCTATAAATAGAGCTCAGAGTCTCGTCTATTCCTTTTGGAGTGTGAAGAATGTCTCTTTGAATCCCTTCAGTATCACCCAATGAATCTCTGTTTTTATTGACAATATTGGACACCTGCTCCTTAATCTCATATTCCTTTACAGTCTTAGTCTTTGAGCCAAGTATCTCATGGAAAGACTTCTTTTTGAAGGATTGGAAACTCTGAATTGATGAAGCGCTGGTGATCCCACGATTCTTAGGTGTCCTTTTAGGATTTTCTTGGGTCTTAAAACTATTATTCAGCATGCTGCTGACTTCAGACTCAGAATTAGAGTTCTTAGAGTCTTTACCACTCTTCCTCTCATGAGATTTCTTGAGGCTTTTCTTTTTCAGGAATTGTTCATTCTTGGTATAGTTCTTAAAGACAGCTTTATGAGTTTTACTTGAGCTCTTTAATTCAGGATTCATTTCCATCCTGATCCTCTTACTGTTCTCCTTATTCATGTGAATCTTATTATCGAAGAAGATCTGTTTCGACCCATGACCTTCCTCAATTGTTTTGGAAGATATACTGTTGAGGCTCATACCCTCCTGGATATGGCTCTTCTCAAAATTAGGTGACTTTAACTTCCTATCTCTCTTAGATTTCTTCGGTTCTGAGAAGTGAGTCTCTGGCTGGGTTGAAAGCCTCTTGTCACTCAGTTCATTAGTCATGCTATACTTCTCAGTGATGAAGTAGTTGTTGTGCTCAAATTTCAATGAATCATAGTTGTTGTGTCTCTCTGTGTATTCCTTCTTATATTTCTCCTCACTTTGCTTATCAGTCTTACTGATAGTGTCAAGATATCATTTCTCGCTTCCCTTTGTAACAGGAGATTTCAGGGTATCTTCAGAGTTATCAGACTTGATAGAGCTTCTTTTGTAGTTAAACCCAAGGTTGTGGCTCTTCGCGATTTCATTATTCACATTGAGTTCAGAATACTTTTTGGACACCAGAGCTTCTTGAGTGGCTTTATATTCTATAATGTTGAGCACATATTCCTCTTACTGTTCTTTGAGGATGCAGAGGACTCTTCTTTACTGCTGATCCTATAATATTAGTCGGCGGATTTACCTTTTCTTAGAGGCAATAGCCTTCCTGTTGATAATCGACCGGCTAGATTTTTCGTTCTTGGTATTGGACAATGACTTGCTTTGATGTGAGATCAATGAGTTGTAACTACTTGCTTCTATTGTTCCAGAGTTTTTCCCTGATTTTCCCTCCTTTTTCTTAATAGTCATCGAGAGAATATTGCTACTTGGAGTTACTATTCCTTTCGATTGCACTTTAGCAGAGAAAGTATCATTCTCTATCAGAGATTTTGCACTTGTAGGAGATATGGGATTAGGATCTGCTCCCATTCAATTATTTTTGCTCTATGTTTCCATTTCTATTTTCCTTTGTAAGTGTACAAGCTTGGAAATTATCTGAAGGGTAGCTTCCAGGCGTGCTATATTTAGATATAGAGGCAATTGCACCAATCTTTTCATTGTTTTTGGCACTGATCTTCCAGTTAGGATGACTGTCAACCTTGCTGATCTTCTTGCTACTTGAGGAGTTGTCATCAGCATCGTTGTTAGTGTTCCCACTTTCATCAGACTTCTTAGACTGAAAAGTCTTGACATTATTGCTAAGGCTCCTGGTTCGCTTATTATGTTGTGAATTTTGCCTCACAAATTGGATTTTTTTCTTATTGAATTTTATCGCCTGATGAGGATTCTTCTTTATTTTTAAAGTCCCAGTGCCTCCTTCATTACTAGAGTTCCTGTTGGATATCTGAGCACTCTTATTTGATCTCCCTCTACTTTTTAGCTTCCCACTACTACTCTTGATATTGGCAGGGTTTATATTGGCTCCTTTTGCTTTTGACTTGCTGAGAATGTCCTTTACCTGCTTCTTCGCAATCTTCAGTTTTTCAGTAGTCTTAGCTGAATAATTTGGAGGCACTTCTTCATGCTCCCGCTCTGAGGAGCTGTATAGCTTATAACGATGATGGTTGTTTTGTTGATGATGAAGATTCCTGCTATTTTCCTTCTTCATTCTTTGATAAAACTCAGGCTTCTTACTCTCATCCATTTTTAAAATTGGCTCTTTAGGTTTCTCCTGAATTTTTGGCTCGCTAGACCCTTTCTTGCCTTTCTTTAGAGTGTTCCTCTCGTTGCTGCCACTTGACATAGAATTAAATTTTATCTTAGTAGCAGTGCTATGTTTTCTATCAGCAAAATGTGTGCCATTTGATGAGGAATCACCTTGAGTGCTCAGGATATTTACAATGCTTAGCTTATTTTTAGATCAAGATTCGTCACTTTTAAATGTAGAGCCAATACTACTAGTCTTCATTTTAGCCTGGTTTATAATATTTTCTCCATTATCTCTGTTCTCTCATTCTTTCGTGGTTTTTCCAACTATGTTCTGTTATAGTACCAGGATTCGATTTTTTGATTTCCAAAAATTAGGGTATTACTTTGGTTTAGAATAAACAGGGTTGAATTGCCTCCAACCCTAGAATAATTACTACGCTTCTATAAAAATCCCTTACCAGTCACGTATTGTTGAGCATCTTTGTCCTCCTCTGGATGCTTTTTAGGCCTCCTGTCCTTCACTCCCTTCACACCAAGTCTAGGTTGTGCTCCTTCTTTAGTTCTGCCACAAGAAGAAGAGGCTGGCTTCTTATATCATTTCGAAGCTTGTCCTGCCAATTTGGTTGCTTTCTTCACAACTTTGTTCCTCATGCTGTTCATTTTAAATAATTTAAATTTTCATTTGTATTAAATTAATGAGGGGTTTTGGGGTTTTGGGGTTTTGGGGTTTTGGGGTTTTGGGG